CCCCAAATTTACACAAGCCACGTCTTCGCACCACAATGTGACATAGCATCAAATCTGCTTAATCTCGTACCATATTTTTAAGTATCAAGGATATTCTTGGTGTAGCTGATCATCATGTTTCGAGTCATTGAACCTAAAAAATAACAAATATCAATAAATAGAATTCGGAATTTATTCCAAAAATATTTTTCTTTGGGAATTATATAGGATTTCTCGTTAATATACTGACAAACTTTTAAAGGTGGTAGGTGCATCAAAATAAACATTTTTTTGTCTATTAAAAAAAAAATAATTTTATTGCCCAACAAATTAATCCAATTACAGAACAAAATACATGAAATAAATGTTAAGCATAATATTTCGACAGAAAATAATTTTAGCAACAGCAAGAAAAAAAAGAAAGAATCCTAAATACATTAGCTACAAATTAGTACAACTAATGGTCGAAATAAATATCCCAATCAGAACAAAATTAATTAAAATTTGAGCACATTAGCGTTATAGGTGAATTTCTTCCCAAGTTCGTTCAAATACTTGCTGTATAAAATGTTTTATGATATCTAATGGCTGTTTGGGGAACATTACAATTTATTTAATTTATCAAAAATAGTACATCAGTAGTGTTATGTAATATTTTATAAAAAAATGTAACACTGGAAACTACCCTTCTATTTTCGAAAGAAGCAGAGATTCTTCAATACCTCGAATGGGATACAGCTCATCTATTTTAAAAGTAAGGTACTTGAGAGATCGCCGCTGAACATTTTCCAATGATCTTTTATGAATATTGTAAATAAGGTTCCAGACAAGAGATGCATATTCTGGCCTGGAACGAACTAAAGAAAAGTAAGGATCTCCAAGCTTTAAGAGTTTGTAAAAGAACGAGTATTACGAATTAAGAACCCTAAGCTTTTCAACGCAGAAGCAACGGTATTTTCAATATAATCCAAAAAAGTAACTTTTGGTTGAATAATATACCTTAATCTTCAATTTGTGCACAAGTCCGATAAAGGTAGGCTGTTAAATAAATAATCAAACTCCACCTTGTTATTACTTCTAGTATAGGAACATACTTTACATTTAGACACATTCATAAACAGCTTGTTTTCATTACACCAATTTTCAACGATTCCCAAGTTGGGTCTGTAAAAAGTAACAGTCTTGAATTGATGAGATTGAGGTAAATATTTTTAAGTCATCAGCGAACAGCAGGTTAAATTTATTGCCAAGTCATTAATAAATATACCAAATAATAGTGGCCCCAGATTGGAGCTCTGTGGAACTCCAGATGTTGCTGTGAGGGGTGAAGATGAAAATCCGTTGTAAGAGACATAATTAAAACGATGATTTAGGTAAGATGAAAATAATCTCAACAGCTACTGATCAAACCCTAAGCTTTCCAACTTACAAGAATATTATGATTTTTAATTATTACAAAATACATTATGGGCAGGTTGTACAAAAAATATTTTAACTAACAAGAGTTTTATTTTTAACTAGTTATATTCAAAAACAAATGTCATTTTTAAAACTATGTTTAACAATAACCGATGAATATACAACAAGGTTCACAGTTTAAACTAAATCTACATTTGAACAGCCTATTGTACAACCCGCCATATGTACAATTAAAAATTAATTGTATTTCTTTAAAATACACTTGATTCTGTTGATCAAAATCATTCGATAAAAAAATTAAAAAGTATTTGTATAAAGGTGGTTTTTATATCTATGCTATAAAGCATTCATTGGGGTAGCATGTAGATTATCTAAGTATCAGATCAGAGAGATTAAAATTAAATAACATATGTAGTGGGATTCTCATCTTTCAGTACGTCTCCTATCGAGACTCCTATATTTGTTTGACAGACAGCGATTTTAATGTAATGTCTCTCTCTCTATTCTGTATGTAATGTGTCGAGTTCGCACAAAAGAATCGCTGTCCTGATCAGAAGAAATTAACCATATCAAAGGAAGAAAATTAGGTCCCCTGTTATTTTTAATTTATATTAATGATTGTTGATGTCGCAATAATCAATATGACATTTACCTGTTAGCCTATGATGTCCTTATCTATGTTTCTTGTAAGTTGTAAGGATTCAGATAACTTAGTAAGAGTTAATTGTCAATGAAACTCTGCAAAATGTTTATAAATGATGTTGAAATCATTTGTTAAAAATCAACACAAATACCTAAAACAAAATATAAGCTGATAAGTAATACTATATGCAGTTTGTGGACAAACAATATAGGAAATTGAAAGAAAATCTATACAGTTAGTAGAAAAATTCAAATATTTAAGGTTAATTATTCGGAAACAGATGAAATTCACAGACCATATGCAAATACTGTTATGAAAACAATTGCAGTTAAATTACATTTCCTATTTAGAATGTTATTAAAATAATTGTTATATTATTACATTATTTTTTACTAAATTTGAATATTGTGATATTAGCAAACTAGCCAAATAAAGAAAATAAAAATAAAATAAAAACCGAAAACATACCTGGATCTACAATAATATAATATATAAATAATATAAGTAGGTACATTGCATCTTTTAAATTATTAAAGTCCATTAAATTGAAATGACACGTCAAACCATAAATGTCAAACTTTCAAAACAAACATGCTTGTGTTGTGTTCCAAACAGAAAATAGCATTTATAGAATAATTTATTTTTTCCGCAAACGTCAAAAAAAGTAGACCTTATTAACGTCAATTCATGATATTGAAGTATGATTTCACAGACGCCACTTTTTTGTACGGCCGTGAGCGGCTGACGGCCGTACAAAAAAGTAGAATTTTTAACAGGGAAAATAATTATTAGTTGAACTTTTAAACTTTATTAACGATAATAATTATTAATAGTAAAATTACAGTTATTTAAGGTTGCACCGCACATATTTAATGCAATACCTGATTTATTCTCTTCCAATTCAAGCGAATTTTGTGCAGAGTTGAAAGAGTTCATCGACAAAATTTCCCGTGACTACTTGTTGTTGCTTCTGTTACATCAACGTCGACATAATTTCGCTCATGAGAAGCTGCATTCAGGTACAGTGAAAAAGAATTCGACATCAAGATTTTTTCTGCAGTTTGTTTTTTATTAGACAAAGAGTCTTCAATGTATCCTTCAGCGACAGTGCTCGACCTCCAACCTCCATGCCGTTTCAAACAAGTAATATCAGCTCCTCCATCCACAAGCAAAGTAGCTGAAGTTCTTCTTAACGCATGGCCGGTGTAATCTTTTGAATTCGGTAGTTTTAAATAAGTTGCTACTGTTTTGGATACGTTACTAATTGTATGAATTCCCATGACCATGCGATAACATTTTCCCTTTTGAAATTTCAAAAAAAAGCGTCGGCTTTCCATAGCTTGTGGACGTAAAGAAGTATATTTTCTGTAAAGATTTATATATTTTTCTCCAATAATTGTGAACGATCGTGGCTTTTTAGATTTACTATCAGGAATCTTTATATGAATAACAGATCCTAAATCTTTTATATCGTCTATTGTCATGTTCACCATTTCATCGCATCTACATGCGCCAGATACGCCCATTATTAGAACAACCTAAAAGTAGTATGTATTTAAAAACTTGATTGTATTTATGCAGGTTAGAATATTATAACTAACCTTAATTCCTAGATATTGCTCATTAGGTGCATTATTTAAAAAATCTTCAAACTGGTCTTTTGTGAATACCTTTGACTTTTTGGGAGTATACCCTTCATTCTGCTTCTTCAGATAAGCACGTAGTTTCATATATTTGCTAATATCTAATCCATGTTTAATATTCAGTAATGATTTTATCATGGAATACTGAGACCACATTGTTGAACTCTTCATTTTTAATTTAGTTGTCATTTCAAAAAAATAAGCTAGTAGCACATTTTCCGAATAGTTTGAAATGTTTTTATCATTGCACCATGTGAGAAATCTTTCGTAAGCATGAATATAAACTCTACTTGACTTAGTTGGAATTAAATCATTCGTAGCTGCCTTAGCAATGTCAACAACGTCGGGCGGTGTACAGTTGGGTTCTGAATCCGACATAATATAATCTAAAAGAAAATTTCAGTACACTTTACTACAACAAACGAAATTTTGATGCTCAAGTACTTACCAAAAATGCACAGTCCAATTGTTGCTTTAAATCACTTACAATATTTCTGACATTATAAAATATTATTGAACTGTCAAATTTGTTTTTGACTTGGCAATCACAAAACCAGTAACCACGGAAATGTAGTGCGCAGTTTTATAATTATTATTCTCTGAATTTATCAACTTCGTTGCAATCGTTTTGAATTTTTATTTAAATATTAATTAGTTCTATAGTCTGGATGCCGTTTGCGGAAAAAATAGCATGTTTCATTCGGAGCAAAAGCACTTTTTGTGGCTCGTCTGAAATTGTCGGCCTCACTAACGTTCGGCCATCAAACATTCAGACTCGCCACAAAAAGTTATACTTTTACTCCTAATAAAACAATATACTATACTTGCAACCTTTCCCCGCACACCACCTCGCCCCTCACCTAGAAACATGGTCAAATTGGGCTAAGCCATTTTACATTCGTCTGCATAGGGAGCGATGTTGCAATTTTTCAAATTTAGTGTCTATTCCGTCTGTTCAGATAGCAGCATCTTATGGGCCCTACATTTTTAAATCTTATCACAAGAATCCTGAAATAATTAGGCAAAAATAAAAGAATGTATTTTGCGTTTTAACTTTTAAATACTATAAAAAATTATGGAAAGTCCATAACTTTTAAATATTTGTTAAATATCACTTATTAAAATATTATGCATTAAAAGTAAAACTGGACTTTCCATCATTCTTTACAGTTTTTTGAACCCATTTATGAAAACAGTTTTTGAAAATATTATCGTTCAGAGCTGTATTTCTTGTGATAAAAAAGTCGCCGTCACTTGTCATTGAACTTGGCCTTAAATAAGTGTATTCTAGGTATTTAAATCATGATTTTTTTCAGGAGGAGTTTGGAATCAATCTCAGAACACAAAACAAAGCGCTCATTTTCTCCAAACTGTACACTTAGCACAGCTAGCAGATGTAGTTCCTCTCTAGAATCATTTTCTTCTGAACCGGAAAATGCTATTAGAATCGCTACGAATACAAAAAACGATGAAGGTAAAGTTCAAAGTCCCGCCTCAAGTTACCTTTCTTGGATAGGAAGCGTTAGTAACGAATTTATAGCCACGCCCGCCGAAATACGACAATCAGTTGAAATTAATAATGATATAGATAGTAAAGTTGGAGAGTGGAATAATTTTTGGCTGAATTATAATAGTGCTAGAAGCAGGTACATGTCCAGTGCTTTTCTTAGTGCGGATGATCGAACGGTAAGAATTTATTATAAATCATAAAATAATTAGTGTCAAAAGTTCTTAGACTAGGTAATAAAAATAGGACTGACACCAACGATATTCGACCAGAGGCGTAAAATGTTGTAAATAAAAAAATAATGACTTGTATTTATGTTATTAGTACCTTATTGATCTTTTTAGGTATAAAACAAGTTTAAAGCGTAAAAATTAAAATAGGAAACAATAAATGTAAGACACAATAAAAAATATATTGAAATAAACTGAATGAAATCGTTTACATAATAAAATAAGTTTTTTTTAAATTCGGCAAAATAAAACAAAATGATCTACATTAATTACAAAAAGATTTATTTTTAGTTAATAAAGAATGACACTATTATCAAATTAGCTAATAAGAAAAATTGTACATAAATGAAAAGAAATGTATTACTAACCCTTAAATAATACTAATTTGGTATAATATTTTTTTCTTTGATATTAATTCAAGTTACACTTTATGAGCGTGGTAACCGATAAGAAAATAATTTTTTTCTTTTATTGAATAAATGAGAAGTTAATATTGTTTAAAATATTTTTATCTTACAATACATGTAGGTTATTCACGAATTTTTATCATTGAAACTAGGTTTATGGTAACTGAAATAAGAAACATAAGTTTTAGACTTGATATTCTCTAAATATCTGGAAAATACCGCGTCAATGGTGGTCCCATATTTTGTTGTGGATTCTTGTGGATCATTATTCATTTTCAAATTCAATTTTTCTGAAATTGTGCCTAAAAGAGATAGAATCAGTTATGAGCAGTTAGCAGCTAGTCTACACGCATACGTCTAGTCGCACGCACATAAACACCGTGCCGAACTCGGCCGAACTGAAACGACGTTAGACGATGCACGGCTTTCAACGCCGCACCGCTGCCGGTCGGAGTGGGGGGTGTTAGATTTATTTTCGTTACGGAATTTCTTTTTCGATTTTTAGATTTTTCTTCTTTTCGATTTTTCTTCTTTTCGATTATTTGATTATTCGATTATTCGATTTTTCGATTTTTCGATTTTTCGATTTTTCGATTTTTCGATTTTTCGATTTTTCGATTTTTCGATTTTTCGATTTTTCGATTTTTCGATTTTTCGATTTTTCGATTTTTCGATTTTTCGATTTTTCGATTTTTCGATTTTTCGATTTTTCGATTATTTGATTATTCAATTTTTCGATTTTTCGATTATTTGATTATTTGATTATTCGATTTTTCGTTTTTTCGATTTTTCGATTATTCAATTATTCGATTATTTGATTATTCGATTATTTGGTTATTCGATTTTTCGATTTTTCGATTTTTCAATTTTTCGATTTTTCGATTATTCGATTATTCGATTATTCGATTATTCGATTTTTCGATTATTTGATTATTCGATTTTTCGTTTTTCGTTTTTCGATTTTTCGATTTTTCGATTTTTCGATTTTTCAATTTTTCGATTTTTCGATTTTTCTTTTCGATTTTTGGATTTTCGATTTTTCGATTTTTCGATTTTTAGATTTTTCGATTTTTCGATTTTCTTTTATTGAATAAATGAGAAGTTAATATTGTTTAACGCCGCACCGCTGTGCCGGTCGGAGTGGGGGGTGTTTTTTTCGTTACGGTTTCGTTTTTTTTTTCTTAATTCGGTCGCCGCGCTCAAAGCCCGCGATAAAAGCTATGCAATGGCTTAAAAATAATTCGAGATGCTTGATTCATTTTATAAATTGGAAGATAGATTAATTTCTTCTCTTCACAAAATAATTCATTATACATCAATAAGGCACTTTTTAAAGAAATAATAAAACCTATAAATCACGTTTTGCGACTAGAATTTATAATTAATTCATCATTAAATTTTAGATTAGAAATTTACTCGATAGTTTCCTCTATCAATCTCTTTGTAATTTCAATGTTTCTTTCAAAAAGTGCCTCTTTCAAACCTGGTGAAATTAGGGACCTACTATTTAAAATATCAAATATTATTTATTTACAGTTTTTATAAATTTAATTGTCCCAGAGCAACCCTGAAATTCTTCCAGTTTTAATTCATCTTGACAATAACTCAAAGAGTCAGCAACAGATTGGGTCAATAATTGAACTGCTAAATTGTTTAAAAAATGTAAATGGGCCTTGGTTAGCTTATTTCCTAAGTGAAGACTATTGTCTAATTTTTTTTATAGATTCCCACCTTATAAAATTGCCTTCACGATCTTTAAAATGTTTTTCCCCAAAAGCATTTCTAATTAATTTTAACATGTGGCAGGGATCAAAAATGACAATTTTTTTTTTCATTTAATGTAAAATATGGTTTCATGTTAAAAAAATCCGTTTTATAGCCCAGCATATGTGCCATTGTTACATTTGATGAAGTCCCATGAAAATTTAGTTAAAGACAGTACGTGTGCATCTGTGTAATTCATTAATTTAATACACTGTGAAACTATTCCACATTTTTGCCGATAATTTACATGTATTAACGCTATTAAAACAAAAGCTTCTTTTGTAACATCAGTTAAGTTATTATCCAAATCTATACCATAATTTACGTACCCATGATATTTTTCCCATCCCATTCAACATGTTTTCGAAATGAAATTTCATCAACAATTAGTGACAGAATAATGGGGTTCTCTGAATTTGTTACATATTTGTTTAGTGTACTAAAAGATTCATTACTAAAGCCTGGCTCAGCATTGATATTTTGAAACCATTTACCTATAGTACTACGGTGAGGTAAGCAAGTATCAAATGCTTGCCTAACATAATCGTAACCCTTAGAAAAAAAAAAAATTAAAGTTATAGCAAACTTACGCAAATCAGATGAACGCATGCTTTTTTTTTTAATTTTTGCTTCTGAAATTGCTTTAAAGTTCCAATAAAATAAACCCTCAAAATGAATTTTTCTTTGATTTAAATATCTTTACTGAATAAACATTGTGATTTTGTTTTGCTTTTTTTTTTTCAGGCCGAAGAAATGTCTGAAGCCAAAAGTATCAATAGTAACATCAAAGAAACAGCAGACAGACCTTCTGGAGAATTTATTCTAATGACTATTGATGAAATTCATGAAGCCTTGAAATGCTCAAAAAAGATCACAGAAATTTTTCAATCTGCTCTTACTAGGAACGACCACGACTGTGAAAATTCCAATTTTGAAACGTCTTACTATTCAGAGTCGGTTTCTAGACATGTAAGCCCTTTTTTAATAAAAATGCCATTGTTGAAGATTTTTCTCACTCATATTACACATTAGCACAAGTCATCATTTTAGGATATTCATGTATCCAAAAAATATCGTTAAGCAAAAGTCTTTTTAGGCCCATTTCCACCATTAGCCGTTAAGAAATACGCGAAGCCAACTTTCTGTCTCAAGCGGAAAAGTATCACTTTTCGCTCTGAATACACAAATAGCTATGGTATTGTCGGTCGATTATTTTTTTATTATTTCGGCACTACATACACCACGAAATACGGTATTAGAAATATATACTCTCATCTGTTATTTGATTATGACAAAGATTATATGTTAGACAGGGCCCCCGCAACTGCGCCTGCAACGCGTGCACCGCACGCGGGCGCACCTCTAAAGGGGCGCCAAACCGGAGGTCTGTATACAATTCGAATTTTTAATTTTTCTAACCTTTCCAATGAAGAAGGCACTAAGACACTAAAGAAATCAAAAATGTTTTTATCTCAATTCAAGATAATATAATCAATAATGTTATCGAAGTTTATGTTCGTTGATATAATGACCTATTCCTATTGTGACAGAAAACATATCTATTTTTGAAATCAAATAGCTATTTAATTAGCGTTAATTACGAGCCCTAACACAAAAATGTTCGGACATCAACTGATTTTTCGTAAAAGTTTGAAAATTTCCTTAAGGGATTCAATATCATGTTTTTCATTTATAAGACATAATATGTATTGTTTTACATCATATTTATGATATTGTTTTCAAATAAACTGATATTTATCAATAAAACTAAGCTAATGTTGATAATAATGCATATTTATTGACACATAAATGTTCGGACAAATCACATCAATAGCTGGTTGCATCTCCCTTTGCCTTAATAAAAGCTTTTATTCTATCAGGCATAGTTTTAACAAGCTTTTCGCAATCTTCCGCGATAAAAGAATCCCATATTATATTTTGCAATTTTACCCGCAAATCAGAAATGTTGCATTTCTTAATTGCTGCTTCATCTTGTGCCATACAGTTTCGATTATATTTAGATCAGGGCTGCTGGAGGGCCAGTCAAGGACGGAAATATTGTTGTCCTGCAGCCACTTTCTTGTGGTCTTGGCTGTATGGCAGGAGGCGCCATCTTGTTGAAAAGTAAAGTTTCCATCAGGTGATAAAATTGGAATTGACACTAACAAATTGGTTTCAAGAATGTCCTGATATTTTTCTGCGTTTACATTTCCGTCTATAAAGTGCAGTTTTCCAACACTGAAACCAGACATGCTTCCCCATACCATAACACCTGATGGAAATTTTATTTTTCTCTTTAGACAGTCTTTGTGAAAGGCTTCATTTTTGTTTCTTATAACACGTGATCGATGATCACCCACGCAAACATCAAATTTTGATTCATCGCTAAAAATGATTCTTTTCCAGTCTTCAAAAGTCCACATTGCCCGTTCCTCTGCCCACGCCAATCGTCTTTTCTTTTGTTTTTCCGTCAGCAACGGCTTTTCTTTTGCCTAAACCAATGATTTCACTACATAAATATGAGATTTTCCTTAAACGTAACCTACGTACCTTATAAAAATGTAAACCAGACTTATGGATCCAGCGACGACACGTTTCTCGTGAAACATTTCCAATTATTTCTTCATTCCATTTTGCTGTTATTTCCCTTACAGTACTTCGGCGATCAGTTTTACAAATCCAAACAAGAGATCTTTGCATTCGGGAAGTGACTTTGCGTGGCCGACCAGCACCATGTCTTGAAATTTGAGTTGAACCCGTTTCTCCATATTTTTTCTCAATATCTGACACCGTGGACTTTGCGACATTTATTTGTTTAGCAATATTCCGAAAGGTTTTTCCTTGGTTAAACAGTTTTACTATTAATTCTCTAATTGCACCATTTGTTGCTTTACCACGCGACATTTTGGAACCAATTGATAATCGAATTAATTTTCAAATTAAAATGTCAAAATAGAAACACTTTTTTTTGTTTCCATGGCTTGCTATTATTTGTTTTACTAACGTGTCCGAACATTTATGCGTCAGCAAATATTGCATTTTTATCAACATTAGTTTAGTTTTATTAATTAATATTAGTTTATTTGAAAACAATTTCATAAATATGATGTAAACAATACATATTATGTCTTATAAATGAAAAACATATGATATTGAATCCCTTAAGGAAATTTTCAAACTTTTTCGCAAAATCAGTTGATGTCCGAACATTTTTGTGTTAGGGCTCGTATTAAATATAATAAAATCAATAGGTTAGTTAATTCTGTGTGCAACATGCAATACCATGAATACCCGTATAAATTTTAAACTTGTCGATTTTTCTTGTCCAGACTCGAATACTGTACGAACGACGAGTAAGTTTCAAATTAGATCTTGTCGATTTTTCCTGTCCAGACTTGAAGACTCATATAAGAACCACGAGACCACGAGTATAAATAAAACTGCAGGAGGCGTCGTAATCCAAACAGTTAATATTTTCTTCGGCAACGTGAAGGTCAAAAACCAAGACGCAAAGTTATAGTTATAAATATTCGACGGAGTGCTTTATATTTTGTGTTAATTGTGTTTTAATTAAATTTTATGAAATGGTAAGTACCTACCCACATAATACCTATGTATTTGACTTAATTCATGCCCGATTCGCGTTCCCATTTCGCCTGACCAATTAAAATTTCTCGATTCGCCTGACAAGCTCAAATTGTGGTATCGTTTCGCCTGACCATAAGTTGGATGGCGAGTGCTTTTTTTAGCATAAGGGCCATTTTCAAAATACATGCAAAATTTGATTTATAAGGATGATTTGATTTGAAACAAAAAAAAACTGCATTTATTGACATTATTAAGCGTTTTGTACCAGTGTTTTTAAATCAATTATTTTTAAATTTTCTAAACCATCTTGATAATTTTTTCTTTAAATCTTTTTTCATAGATATACTAAGTTCTTTTCTAAAGTAATGTATAGTTGAAATTACTGGAGGAATTTTAGTTTTTAAATATATATTTTTTGTCCTGGCCGGTTATTGGGACACATGAAAAAATTTCTAAATTCAAATAGTTTATTCGCTTTACGCTTCGTCAATTTGAAAAAATGTTTAGTTTTTATTTTACTAACTTTTTACTTTACTGGGTGCTCTATATTTTTTGTTTATATCGAATTAAATAACTACAAGGGTACGATAATGGGGCGAATATGCGCGGGAAACATACTGGTTTACAAAAACGCATACTCGATGCTAATCCCAGGGCATTTTTTGTGCCATGTGCTGCACACAGCTTAAATTTAGTAGTAAATGATGCTGCTAAAGTTTCAAATGAAGCAGTTAACTTTTTCAATATTGTACAAGAACTTTATGTATTTTTCTCTTCATCCACAAAAAGGTGGGATATTATAAAAAAGCATGTCCCGAAGTTAAATCTAAAACCCCTAAGTGATACTAGATGGTCAAGTAGGATTGATGCTATAAGGCCGCTAAAGTTTCATGGAATTCAAATTTGTGATAGCCTTCTAAAAATAGTAGAAAATGATACTTTTTAACATAGAAGCTAGGCATAAAGCAAGTTCTATGCTATTAAGTATCCAATCATTTAAATCTATTTGCAGTGTAATAATTTGGTATGATGTTTTATTTTAGATTGGCATTGTAAGAAAAATGATGCAAAATGTAACGACTGATATTAAAGTGTGCCAAAACTATTTAAAGAATCTAGTTGATAATTTTAAAAATTATAGAGATGATAATGTTTTCGAGGAAAAACTTGCTCAAGCTGGACAACTAGCAGCCGCTCTTGAGATAGAGCATGATTTTCCTCCATTAAATACGAAAGTATAAACCAAAACTGTTGGATTACGAACAGAGAGATGAGACACCTCAAGATCCAAAAACAGCGTTTAAAATAAATTTATTTTTAAAAATAATTGATCAAACACTAAGTTCTTTAAATAGTAGATTTGAAATGATATCTGATTACGACAACGTTTTTGTTTTTTTTAGTGATATTTTTAAATTAAATGACGAGGATCTTTTAAAATGCTGTCGTGCTCTAGAGCAAAAGCTAACTAATCAGAAAAAGGAGGAGGCTGACGTAGAAGAAAATGATTTATTTAATGAGATAAAAGCCCTAAGATTGTTTTCATTACCTGATGCGTCAAATCCCCTCGACATTTTACAATATATATTTGAAAACAATCTAACTTCATCTCTACCAAATATTACCATTTCGTTAAGAATCCTGCTTACTTTACCTGTATCTGTAGCTTCTGGTGAGAGATCCTTCTCAAAATTAAAAATAATTAAAAATTATTTGAGGTCTACCGTCTACCATATCACAAGAAAGATTATCGGGTTTATCTTAGCTATAGAGCAAGAGATCCTCGATAAAATTGATTTTGACAATATTATAAAAGAATTTGCAGCAGCCAAATCCAGAAAAAAAACTATTTAATTTTAGGATAATTGAATGTTTTATTTGTTTACTGTTTAGTTTGTTTTTTCGTTTGTAAGAATAAAATATTGGTTCATTATTGTTTCATTACAAAATTAAAATAAAATGTAATTTCGCAATTCGCTCAAATGTTAAACGACTACAAGAATATTATAGCAAACCAGGAAATTTAAAAAACATATGTAACAGCTTAAAGTTGTTATTCTTCAAAATATTATTTATATAAGTACTACATATATTCAAAGGGCGCCAAAATATTTCCGGCACGCGGGCGGCGATAACCCTTGCGGGGGCCTTGATGTTAGATAATAAGTACATTGATAATTCGCAAATGGGTTGTCTTGCTAAATAACGGGCCAGTTCTGTTAATTAACCAGTGGCGGTTTGCCCGTAAGGGCACTTGGGCACGTGCCCTAGTGTAATTAACAAAAAAAAATAACTTACATATTTTATATTTTCCTCAATGCCTATTATTATTTTATCTAATATTCAGCACAAACCACGTTGGCACGACACTGGACGACCGG